TGGCCACAAAGAAAATGGAATCTTTGTCTTAATGCCCTTTTTTCAGCTTTCTTGGGCAACACATGGCCAGTATTTGCTTTTATTTGTGTGTCACTGGGAATTCCTCAAAAATTTATTGTGAAGGATTGTATCCCTAAGGACCACTTGAACGTCTAAAATATCTGTTTTATTTTTCCCATTATTTCTGGCATCTTTAAGGAATGGATGGGACATAATTTTCTTGCAGGAGTGATACAGCTAGGTCTCTTGATATTTAGAAGACTAAATCTGGAATTCACATGATGCTTTCTAGTACTCTTCCAGCCACAGCAGTAATTAGCTTGGAATGGACACACGACATCAGTTTTGATATAATGTGTATCTTTCTCTATAGCCTTGGAGACTGAAGCAGAGTTGTTTCTTCGGTGTACTTGAGAGTTTAGTCTAAATTTAAGTGTCCATGAGTCTGTATTTCATAACTAGGAAATGTTCATGACATTCTGCTTAAAACACTATAGGGAAATCAAAGTAAAGCTCTGTAAATCCTGCTTGTATCTTTTAGCTTCACATAACAGGCTTATCTGTCCTGGTTCCACATTTCTTCTTTGCTTCTTTGCTTTGAATCAAAATACAACTTAACTTGCTGGTTTTCTTCCTGTAACTCCATGACTATAAACAGATGAATATTTTATCTCATGAAACTCTGTCATTTGCTAATATTTATTTGATAATGAGATAGCCAGAATGAAGGTAACATTCTAAATAAATTTATAAATGCACCATTCCCCAACACAATTGCTTTATTAGGATGGTGATGGTTTTGATGGAGTTGGGGCTAAGTAAGGGATAGGACTGGGAGTTAATGGGATGTCAAAGTAAAAAGAGAGGGAATAAGTTTTTGAATTAGTATGCAATTTTTTTTAGAGTTGGGAAATGAAGACTGGGCATTCTGCCTCTGTGCTAAGGGCTGCTGCATAAGGTGACTGTCTGATGCAGGTGCAGAGGAGGAGGGGAGAATGCAGTTCTTTTGTTCAAACAATATTTTTCTTACATTCTTTTCTCTGCTTGACATCTGCCAAGTCCAGTTAGGATTCACTCACAGCCCTTCCTCTTCTTGGTGACAGGCAGACAGCAAAATACAAATTCAGAGTTGGAGAATCTCTTTTCCCCTCTGGAAGATTTCCTGCTCTCTAGATGAGGAAAGATCTTTTTGTTCCCTGCCTGGGCTTCTCTTGATCTCTGTGTTAAGTTTTACATTGTTTGAGAAGATCCTTGTACCTCTACCTGAGAGAAGACATCTGAGCACTTTGATGCCATGTGCAGCTTTGTAAAAAATAAATCTTGTTCAGCAAGCCTACCTTCTTCTGAGGAGATCACAGGATTCTTTGATAACAGAAATTGTATTGATGCTATTGGATTTCTTCAAGCAATTTGATCTGCTGTCAATGACATCTTAATTAAAAATCTTACAGCATAAGTAAGCTTATCAGTTACCTTAAATTAAAAAGTCCCTCACTGTCAATTTGGTGACACATCACTGAGTGGGTCATTTCCAGTGCTGCTGCCCTCAAAGTGGATGTCAGCATGGTTAAAGTTTTCCCATGAGAATGAGAGCCTGCAACTGTAGGGCTTCTTCCAGATGTCTCAGAAGGGCTTTGTCTCCTTCTTGATTGGGTGGTTTGTAGGAGATGCCACTTGCAGTGTCACCTACTCCAGTGCAACTCTCAGCATTAGGATGAAGCCTTACCTAGTGTGCAGCCTCTTATAATTGCCTTCCAAGCTGTCACACTGTGCCATTCATAGACATCATCCCGTGATAACGTTCATATTCCAGAAATGGTAGTGTTGCAGCTGTTCCCTGGTTTCTGTTTCTGTTTGATAAGCCTTGCACATTTGTTTGCAGACACATGTGGTGGGGCCTCTGCATTGTGCTGCTTTTAGAAGGAAATGGTGACAGTGTCTCCCATCCTGCTATTCCCTGCACAATGTCCTCCCTGCCCCCACTTACAATTTTCTATTCTTTTGTCACCATCAATAAATAATCCATGGAAACCAAGGATAAAGGTGCATAATTTAATAATAGTATGTTCTTCTTAATTTTTAATTTTTTTTAACATTTGAATTTTCACAACTGGAAAAAAAGGACCCCAGACTCTAGAAAGACATTATCTTACTAATGTTAATAATAATCTATTCCAGTTATCCATGTAATTCTAATCTAAGGTTTAACATACATGCTTCAAAACTGAGATGATGGGATATTGCTGCTAGATGCTTATTATAGTTTCTTGAAATAGATATAGGCCAGAATAGAGAATTCAGGTCTTGAAATACTCCTTACACATTCATAGTTCAAACTTCTGTAGAAGAGGGGTGACTTGCATGGAGCTATGAACTTTTCAGTTAGGGAAAACCATGCACCAAGAAGGAATTGGGCAGATTCTTATCACATAAACACCAAGATAATTGGGGGTTTGCTTACTTATGAAGAAGACTGAAAAAAATAATGATGTCCTACTGGCTGGAGTGTAAAAGTACCTTTATCTTTTCAGCTAAGATGTACCAGAAACAAAGAAAATTCTTCACTGTGATACAATATTGCTAGGGCTCCCCTTTTATTTTCCTCACACTCTTGAGGGGAAATTGGGAAAGAG